AATACAAAAATGCAGAGGCCAGATTTGGTCCCTCCAGATCTAGTTTTCTGACTCCTGAGTAAGACGGGTTCGAAAACCACTCTGCCTTGGTTAAGCCTAGCTCTGTCTCTTTACTATACTATGCAACCTTAGTCCCTCTATGTTTCGATTTCTTCATTTATAAAATGGGAATAGCTATATACCTCAAAAGTTAACATAGGGAGTAAATGAACTTAGAACAGAGCCTGCTACACAGAAAGTGTTCTATAAAAACTCGCTATTACTTTCATACATTACTATCAAACAACATGGTCAACATCAACTTCCTGTTAGTGAAAACTTGAGTTTTTCCCTTGTCTTTATCCTACTTGACCTTTCTGCAACTTTCAACAATTCTACCACTTAATGTGTATACCACCTTGGACAGACCTCTCACTGCACCTCAGCTTCCTTATCTACTGAAGGAGCACTGATCTGATGACTGCATTAATCTCAGATTATGTGAAATCAGCCATGTAAAGAGTCTAACAATGTCTGGCAAAAAGTAAAGTCAATCCTCAATAATGTCAGCTATATTTACTAATTACTACAACTATTAACCACTTCCTTCCATCTTGAAATATTCTTTCTTAGAAGCTATTTGTTATAGCAATAGAAGTAAAGCTCGGGAGTTTCAGACCTGAGTTCAAGTCTAACCTGGATCATTTTCTGTGTTGATATGGATACACTGTCTAAATTAACTTTCTTCATATGCAAAGTGACAGAGCAACGAGAGGAACTGAGAAAACCACACAAAGCTCCTACAGTACAGAGGCTGGTGCTCAGTACAGATGAGCCCCTTCCTCAGTTCTGTATCCATCTGGAGACAATATGTACTTCAGTCTTCCCTGCTCCATCTACAGCTCTCACTGTGGGCTCCTGCTCTATACATTATCTCCAAAGAACCTCATCACTTGTATGTCTTTAGGGTCTGAATCCCTGAACTACCTTGTCTAGTTGGGTAAGTCTGAGCTACAGACAACATTTTCAGTAGTTTCTTCAACATGCTTTTCTCCTTTCCATCTGCTTTTTTCTCAGACATTGCTTAGCTCATAGTTCTACTTTCAAAATGCTTCAAAAGTGCTTCCTTCCTTTTCATTCCTACTCCTGCTGGCTTCATTAAGAATATGACATTTTACTGTCTAAATGCTTTAGATTTAAATTTAACAAATGATTCCACAAAAACATCAGAAAAAAAATAACTGAACAATTCTATTACTTCAGAGCAAAGATTGTCTTAATAGCTAACATCCACAAACCATTAAAAAAATCTGGCAATTTTAAATGCAAAAACAGTATAAATCAAAAGATAAAACACAGAACAAGGAAATTTACAACATATATCAAAAAGCTAACTCTAATATAAAGACAGTGTCTATACATTAATATTATTTTTAAAATACCAACTATGAAGAAAAAAAGCAAGTAATAGTCCAATTGACATAAAAGGATATATAAACGACTCTGAAACATATTCAGCTACCCTCAAAATGGAGAATATGTACATCAAACTTATACTGAAATACCAATTTTCACTATCAGCCTGGATAACAAGGCTTGGTAACTGCACCATTGGCAAAGGTGGAGGAAATCAGCCTCTTATTCACTGTCAGAAGGGCAGATCCCAAGACATCTGATAACATCAAAACCTATGACCACCCAAGCTCTGTCAAGCAATTGCATATCTAGGAAGCTGCATGGTTATGTACTGAAGCATCAGTAGAAAACAATTTAAACACCTAGTAGGAATGAATTAGCTCAACAAATTATACCACATAAGCATACTGTAAAAAAAAAAGTCTAAAGAACAAAGAAAAGAGAACCATTCATGTGCAGGTAAAAAAGCAAGGGGTAGAAACAACCACGTGCACGGCAAGGAGGCTAAAAGGAGAACATGCACACGTGTTTGCTTATACAAGTATCTGATATATCTCTGCAAAGATAAACTCTGAAGCCGTATGCATTTTGAATTTTTGAATGAACTACATGTTGGGAAAATTAAATTTGCAGAACAGAAAGAAAAGATGAGGTCTCAACAATCTTGGATGTGTAATTAAGGCTTATTTTTCTTTTTTTGTTTGCCAATTTACAAATACAGGCCAACATAAAGCTGAAAATCCTAAATAAAACTTCTTTTATATCATAAATAAAATTGACCTTAGTAGTTGAAATTACAAATACTAAGTATATAATTTAATGACCTGAAAATGTCTTTATCTGCTTCAAAAATAGGCTATATCTCTCTTACCATATTGCAAATAATTTGTCAACTGAACTTCCTGCTTGGAAATAAGAGGAGACACAGGAAATACAAATCACTACTAGAATGAAGGAGAGAAAGCTAAGGATTTTTCTTTTAAAATTATTACATGGTAACTTCCATATTTACAGTAAAAAAAATAAGGCAATGGAAAGATTTCAATTTTTCATTTTTATGTATAGGAACTGGATATACTTCATGAATCCAAACCTTGGGTAACAGAAACAAGTTTATACATCCCTGAAGTTATTCTATATTACAGGTTTTTGTTTTGTTTTGTTTTGAATAGTTTAGCAATTTGGAAAAAATGCATTTGACAGTTAATACAGCAAAAGTAAATTAGATATTCAGGTCACAGTGCTTTTAAAAAATGTAATCAGGGAGCTAAACAATTCCACATTCCTACAGTTTTCCGATCTTATCATACAATAGTTTTTCTTGAATTTTCTCTCCAAATGAAGAAAATAAAGATGGACATTTATAGGGTTTTTTTTTCCCCAAAGATTTTCAAAAGTATGTATCACATTTAGATTGTTTGGCTAGACATTCAAAAACAGTTTTCTACCTACTTCTTGCCATGGCAGGCTTTGAAAACTAAATTAGTATTAAATGAGCTCTATTTTGACCTTTATTTTTACAGGCTACTCAATATTTTTAGAAAGCCTCAATAATAAGGGTGGGAACAGGGAAAGAGATTTTATTTAAAACACACATAAACCTGCCTGCAAAGAAAACACAACTGTTGAAGTTTTCGAATTTCAATGGAATCCTACAAAACAGAGTGAGTTTTCCAACAACAAAATAATTTTCCCTTTAAAATTTCATCCAATACCAAAGTAAAATAGTAACAACAATCCTGATTATAAAGACAGCTATTATGGGGGAAATAATAGTCAAAAGATTGCTTTACCTCCAAGTTAAAAAGATCTTCAAGGCAGCTGAGAGATCAACTCTCTTCAAGTCTGCTTCTGGAATGTGGACACCAGCCACAAGCTGCCGCACTCCTTCCCCAGGACATCCTGACTGTGCACAATAGCCACTGACAACAATTGAACTAGGTCGCTATTTCCACGCATGGAAATTTTACTATCTATAGACACAAATTTCCCTATCTAAGTTAAGTTAAATGGCACTTAAAAAACAAACTACTTGAAAACAAATTTGGTTACTAAGCACATTTTAAAAAGTCCTAACAGAAGCTACTCATGTGTCCCACTTAAAATTGTCCATAGCACTTTTTCCTCCCAGTGCTTGAAACAGAAAAAAGGAAACCACACAAACAGGAAAAATCTATGTCAGAGAAGTGGGGGGTGGGGGTGTTAAGTATATGGACCACATTCTTATTGAAAGGTTTTATTTCCTCTTTCTAACTTATCCCTTGGCACTGCCATTTGCCCTTCCCAAATATGAGCACATTCTCCAGTCTCATCCTGTTCTTCATATCCAGAGCTCATGCACAGGGACCTATATCACTGCCTCACCCTTGCATGGCACCACCCCAGTTAATGCCTGCAGCTGACCTGTAGAACTCTGGACAGGTAACCTGTCTCCTCAAAGACGTCCTTTCTTCACCTAGGATGAGCAGCTTACTGTGCTCCCTTGGTGTCTGACATCTGTCACTGAACTGACCACAGACTGCTGTGACCGTGTCTAACTCTGACTTTCCACACAGCACTGCTGTATCTTTTTGCACTGCAATGACTGGACTCCATCTTGTCTTGTCAGTGGCATTCTATACCAAGGAGCACTTCTTAAAATCCTGCACCTCTGAAATAGCATGGCGCTTCTCTCTCACTGTCTGTGTCTGGCAGATGCTTCTCCAGTTCGTCTATCTTCTCTATCCCTTAATTCCATGTCAGTCTCTGATCTACCCTGCAGAGCTGGGTCCAAATTTGTTTTCAAGTAGTTTGTTTTCAATTTCCATGCGTGGAAATTACCACAAGTCCATGTCTTCCATTTCAAACTTCTAAATAATCCTGAAACCTGTCATGTTTTGTCAAATTGACAACCATCCCCACTGCACAAAAAGTGACAACCTATCAGTTACCATATCCTATGTTCTGCCTCATATCAGATCTTCAACTTTTATTTAGACTATTTCTAACAATTTCCCAATTGATCTAACTACTCCACCATTCAGTCTACCTACATATTGCAGCTCAGAATAATTTTAACAATTTTGAGTGATGGTCATTACAGAAGCCAATGTCCTAATTCTTGATTCTGTTTTAGTATATACATAAATATATATACATATCCACACACAAATATTACACAACAAAGTTAAAATTGTTATTTCATTTTCCCCCCTTTAACCCAAGACTTGTTTTTCTCTGTTTGGTTCCTTCTATAAGCTGGAGTCACTGAGACAAATGACCGTTTTCCAATACCACTTGTCAACATATAACAAAAGCGTTATATACATTAATTACCTTAAAAAGGCATGAACTCACTCACAAAACTCAAATTTTAAATATTGGTTATTCAGTTTAAGTTAGTATATTTACAGTGTCTGCTGACAGTTTTGATTTTTAAGAGAAAGGAATCTTCAGGTATGAGTTGATGGGAATATTTATATTAAAGTGTGCAAAACTCTTCATTCAGACAAATCATACAAATGCCATGGGAGGAGATGGCCGTACCACTGTTGTGGATTGAAATTTCAATGCCTTGCTTGCTTCCTTCTGCCCTCAGCAGCCTCTCCTTACTGTTTCTTCCTTACCTTTCACTTTTGCAGTAAGCATTTCTGCAGCATTTTGAAGATCAACAGAATTGAGGTTCTGATGCTTATTCATTATAGATCTTAAAACACGGAGAAGTTCATCCAGACGTATATGAATGACTTCTTTAAAACAGTCTAAAAAGGAAAGAAAAACATTTATTTTCAAAGAAAGTCTTAGAAATCTAAGCTACAAAAGATGTGAAGCATATTTCAAGTGAAAGCACTGTTTCCATAATTTTTGCCTACTACACATTCATTCCTATTTTTCAACAATTGTAGCTATATATAATTTATATTACCTTTAGAAAATCCTTAGTCACTTTAATTCATTAAGGATTTCAGGACAGTACACAGTTGTAATCCCAGTAGTTGGAAGTGGGGACAGTAAGATCAGGAGTTGAAGGTCAGAGGCCAGCCTAAGCTACATGTAACACTGTCTCAAAAAGAATGATCAGCAGGTAAAGGCACTTGCTATGCAAGTCTGGTGACCTGAATCTGGTCCCTGGAACTCACATAAAGGTAGGAGAAAATTCACAAAGTTGTCCTCTGACCTCCATATGTGTGCCATGGCGCACACACCCAGAAGCATGGGTACCCACACATATGACAACGATGATGATGATGAAGAAGCAGTAACAGAGTTCAAAGGCGATCACAGCTTGGTCAATTCAGCACTACCTTCTTTAGTTTTCCAAGTCTAAATATGCTCTCCAGATCTGGAGGCCAATTAAATAGGGTATTTCCTGTCTCATGCCTTTAATACACTTTTAGGATATATGGTAACAAATCTAAAAGTTCTAAAGTCTGATATATTAGCAAAAATATTTAAAAATAAATGCAAAGTTTCCACATTAAAATTGACTCTTTGCATTATTAGTTATTGGGAGCTAGTAACCCCCAAGTGTGTGTAAGGACCACCATTTGACCTGTACATTTTAAGATTTTTTTAAAAAAATATTTTTATTTATTATTTTTATGTGTATGAGTGTATTGCCTACATGTACATGAGTGCACCGTGTTGTGCAATACCATGAAGGTCAGAAGAGGGCTTCAGATTCCCCTGGAACTAGAGTTAAGGATGGTTTGTAGCTGCCATGTGGGTGCTGGGAATCTAACCCGGGTCCTCTGCAAGAGCAGTCAGTGCTCTTAACCACTGAGCCATCTCTCCAGCCTCTGACCTGCACATTTTAAAACTGATTTAATTTACTTATGATAAGAGACACAGATCTTTAAGGAGTTTTGTGAATTTTACAAAAGTAGAATCAGTTTTCAAGGATGAAAAATTGGAGGAACATTGAAAGAAATCCAGATTTCTATCTACTCTTGAAAAAGCTGTAGCAGGCCCAACTTCTTCTTTGGCTGCAACAGCTGGAAGAGATACTGCCCTCTTACCTGTGTTCTTCCTGGACCCACTAGTCTAATCCTAACCAATTCAGCTCATTTTTACTATCTCTGGTCACAAGGATGCCAATAGCCTTTGTGAATGGGTTACCATGTAACTTTTCATCGAAAACAAAATTCTCTTTGGAGTAAAAAGGGAGGGCATTGTTTATAGTTGTGCTAGCTTGACAATATATTGTAGATCATCACCTCAGGTGACCCAGAACAGTCACTCTACCTTTACAACCATGAAGTAATCCTCAAAAGTTTGAAAAAATAAGCACCTTAAATACAATACTGATAGAATTTTTCTTTCTATAATCTTACATAGCACTAACGTTTAGTAATGGTTAGTATTTATTAAGTACTTAGTTTGTTAGGCACAGTTAAAAATATTTAGAGGATATACTCTCTCAAAATATTTAATACTGTCTCATTCAACATTCCACAATCTTATTAGGTAGACAATCTAAAAAAAAAAAACTCCATTATGCAAATGAGGATATTAAAGCATACAGAAATTTACAAGTTACTAAAGTTTGGAGCCAAAATTTGAACCAGAGCATATAATTCCAGTACTCACGCTCTTAGTATTATATGTCCTCTCTACTGAAATAGCTAAAAGGAACAAAAATTTTAAATAGTTACTTCATAATTATACATTTTTTTCCAGAAATACTGAAAGACAATTCCATAGTGAAAAACCCTCTATAGGATAAAAACCAAAAATATTCTACCATCATCCATCAAACAGTCCCCCTATTAACAACACTATCAAAAGAGAAAGAAATGTATAGAGTGAGAGAACAAGAAGGAAGGAGTTTGTCAGAGCAAAGAATAATCTAGGGTGAGGCAATGGAGTCCAGACCGTGCCGGAGGCAGGGAGAACACCACACCTTCCAGGAGAAAATTTGACTCATTTATCTAATAAATTTTACTGACAGAGACATACAGAAGAGTAGGCACTAGCTTAAGTAACCCCAGAAATAGAAGGAAATGCACACAAGCACTATTCTCTCACTGACAAAGTATTTTCAGTGGAATTTGGGTTTAACAATTTGGACACTGCCTATTCGACTATACTGGGACTAAACAATTGAGCAGAAGGTAAGAGATGGTAGGAGCCAGGTATGTCACTGTTAAGAGTAGAAATTTTGAAATAAACGAGGAGAGGAGGCTACAGTAACCCATGAAATGATGACTAAAGTCAGATTCTTAGTAATAACTGATATTTAGCTTAATATAGATGGCTGCATTCAGAAATATTTACAGATATGTATACAAATGCATTGATTAGTATACAAAAACACATTCCTCTCTCTGTCAACCTAGAAGATCTAAAAATGGTACTCCAGCAGTATTGAGCATATCTAAACACTCAGAGCTTGGTTTCTCTTTTATTTTTGAAATTATTATTTTATTTCATGTGTATGTGTGCATTGCCTCCATGTTTGTAAGTGTACCCATGTCATGCAATGCCCATGGAGGACAGAGGCAGCCATCAAATTCCCTGAAAATGGAGTCACAGTCAGCTGTTAGCTGCCATATGGGTGCTGGGATTTGAACCTGAGTCTTCTGCAAGAACAGCCAGTGTTCTTAACTGCTGAGCCATCTCTTCAGCCCCAGAGCTTGGTTTCTAATACGTTTTCCATTCAAAGGAACCAGAGCTGCTTGAAGAAATGGCTGATTCTAAGGCAGAGGCAGGAAATGTACAAACTTTTACATTTCAGCATTTTGCATGAGGAAGGAAGGAAGGAAGGAAGGAAGGAAGGAAGGAAGGAAGGAAGGACACATACAAACTATACATACCACAGATACAAACACACATACACATATAACACACAGGAGAGAGGGAGAGGGAGAGGGAGAGGGAGAGGGAGAGGGAGAGGGAGAGGAGGACTAAAGGGGGAAAAGTGAGGCCAGGATGCCAAATGTATACAAGAGTCAATAGAAGGAGTTCCTACTGGCCAAAACTTATACAATTGGAGCAAAAGACTAGTGTTGGTTCATAATCTAAAGTATTAAACAAATATCCATGATGTCACACTGATATAACTGACCAAATAAATGGAGAAGACACATAACACCATGTAAAAGAATAATAAATGATTTATGTAGATACTTTGCCCTCAAGGATGAAGCGCAACCCCTGCCAAGTGTGGGCCGTGCATAGAACTGTAAAAGAGAACAGTATGCACGGAGGACAAAAACAGTAACTTTACAGCAGAGAAACTTGACAAACATTAAAACACTCAAAAACAATGATAAATCACGTTTGCAGTAAATACCCTTGATACAATATGATGAAAACGGCAGCTTACATCTGTGCTCTCCCTTCTACTATTCCATAAGTCCAGTCAAGGAGCTGGAGAAACGGCACTGGCCACTCTTGCAGAGGACCTGGGTTTGACTCCTAATACTCGCATAGTGGCTAACAATCATTCTTAACTCCAATTTCAGGGGATCTAATGACATCTTCTGGCCTCCACGGGCAACGCATGCATGTAGTACACTTACATACATGCAGGCAAAACACTCATATACATAAAATAAAAAATACATAAAAATTTTTAGAAAAGAAAAAAATCATCGAGAGGGCATCCTACAAAGCACCTGACCTGTACTCCTTGAGAAACTTAAAGACAAGGAGGGCCCAAAGAGACATGACATCTAAATGCAATATGATAGGCTCCTGGAAGAGAAAGGACAGTAGAGAAAAATCTACAGGAACCTAAGTGAATAATAAACTTCCATTAATAATAACACAGCACTATTATCGGTTGTTAGCAGATATTGGTTCATTAACCCCAATGGATGTAAGATATTAAAAAGGGAAGCAGGTGTAGGACTAATAGGAACTCTGTACCATCATTTCAGTTGTCTGTAAACCTGAAATTGTTCTAAAGCTATTTTTAAAATTAAATAAGTTAAAAAAAAGAAATACATGCAAGTGGACTTTTCCCCCATAAACATATAATTTTTAGAAATTCATTAGTAATTTTTAAACCCTAGGGAAAACATGATTATCCATTTTAAAGAGTTCTTAGTAAGTATCTAATCTGTTTTATAATTGTAGACATTAGTTATGCAGGTTTACTTAGTTAAGTAGTGATTAAATATAGTGACTAAAAAGTGCAGCCTCTGGAATCAGACTATTCAACTTTAAATTCCAACTCCATGGCTGAGAAGCCTTAGGCAACTTACTCAATCTCTCCATTCTTAATTTCTCTGCTTATAAAAAGACAATGAGAGCTACTTTACAGAGCTGTTAGAATAAAACACAGAAAGCACTTAGAACAGTGGCAGGAACATAGTAGGCCCTCTAGAAACACCTGGGGCATTATTCTTAGGAAGCAGTAGACAACACTGGAATCCAGTAGTAATGAATTAAATTTCTGGGAAAATAAACAATTTAGATCATTCTAAGAAAAAACTATAAAGCCTTCCTGACTTGCTATCTTATCCCAGTTTTACACAGCAGTATCTTCTTTGTATTATAGAGTAAGTGTGAACACTTCTGCCTAATTACCAAGACCAAGCTTGAGTGATTATCAGTTACACTATACTCTTTTTGAGACCTAACTATGCCAATAGTTCACAATACTTAATGTCCCTCAAAGGCCCAACGGTTAAAGGGTTGGTCCCCAGGGTGGCATTATTGGGAGGCATTAGAGACTTTAAGAGGAAGGGCCTAATCAAAGATCCCCAAGTAACTGAGGAATTGCCATCAAAGAAGATTATTGAGACTCCAACCT